TATAGCTGTTGAAAATGAGGCACTAACATTCACAAATGACATTGAAATAAATTCCAGTCCAACATCTGGTTGGAGGAAAAATATCCCAACTTCAGAAGATGTGCTGTTAACTTAACAGTGCTCTTTGGTTCCTCTTGTTAGTCTACAATTTCTCATATTGAGGTCATCAAACCAAATTTTGTATCTGCCATAGCTGGCTGACACCTGCTGTCCCAATCTTTGCAACCAGTTTCTGACAGAGAAGCCAGTGACCTCTTCCCAGTGTCAGAATCTCACTGAGGAAGAAACTGCATTAGGTTTTCTATCACTTTAATATGTCTTCTATAACTGATGTGTATTCACAAATAAAATAAGTTAATAGAGTTTCATTTACAATTTTTATATCTTCGTGTCATGTGGTAGATCTCAGCTGGCTTTTGAGAGAAAAAGTATATCTTGGTCTCAAAAGTTTGGGCACCCTGATCTAGAATAATGTTTATGGTATGCGTTTTGTTTTTATATTAAGTTGCATAAAAAGTTTACAGTTCTGAATTGCTAAAGTCACGGTTGCCAAAATATTATACCATACTGCCTCAGGCAGTATGGCCGTATTTACTACGGTAAAACCACAGCTGCCGGTATTTTACCGTATTTTAGAAAATACAGTAATTTACCACATATTAGGAAATACGGTAAAATACCGGCAGCTGTGGTTGCCAGACATTTACCGTATTTTAGCAAATGTAGCAAAATACAGGCAACTGTGGTCATAGACATAATATAGGAGTAGACCCCGCATTGGCTGCTCCGGTGCAGGAAATACGACAGCTCACATTTTCTGTTTTTGTTTTGAAGGTTTCATAAAGACACGATGTGAGGAGGAAGAAGAGGGAAATATCTTTAAAGAGAGAGGGATTCACTGCACAGCACGGATGAATCTTGCATCGGATTTTGGACTCAATCTCAGCTGCTGAATCACTCTGAATAATTATTATTATATTAATCATAAACACTACCGGTTACATTATGTGGAAAACGGAACCATGAATTCACCTTAATTTAGACAACAACTTGTTTTTAATAACTTTTTCCAAGAAAAAAACAAAACAGGCATTGTGCAAATTGTACTGCTATCGGTAATACTATCTTTAACAGACTGAAAACATATGAAGGCTCTGAAGAGGCTAAATAATGCAAAGAGTCAAAAATAAAACCTCTTAACATTGCCAAAAAAATCAAGTATAAAACTTAACATTCAAAGGCAAATACAGGTTCCATTACAAAAAAACAGTCCTGAGTTACTGAATGAAACCTTCCTGATAGCATGGCAAGCTGATTACTTGCCAGTCAGAAACAGTTCTGAGTGGCTGTTTCTGACTGAGCTGAGTAATTATGCAGAACAGGGAGGAGGCAGAGGAGAACGATTATTTTTTCAGAGATTGTTTGTCTCATGTTAGGACAGCGAAAGTTTTAATACGTATGTAAAATTTATTTTTTTAAGTTAGATGCTGCAGCTTTAAGCAGAAGTTCGGTGTGAGAGTCACTACCAGGTGGAACAGAAGCGGCGCTCCGTCTGTGAAATATTACTATCTGTAGCGCGTAGCTGTGCGCTGCTTTACCTGCTATCTGATCGTCTTTTTTTTTTTTTTTACTGCAGTGAGCCTCAATATTACGGAGCCCCCCAGGGGACATGGGGAATGTTTTTTCTTTTGCGTTCCCTCGCAAAACTTTTGCGTTCCCTCGCAATAATCTACTACTAGAAGTAGTGTATCAATCAACTGATCTGTTGATCAGTTGATTGATACACTTAAAGATGAGATTCCCCGAGTTAATCCAGTGCGGCTGTCTACCACCATTAGTTTGGTGTGTTTTATAATAATAAAACGTGTTTATTATTATTAACGCTTTGGTGCAAAAAAACTGATTGAAAATCGATTTATTTACTGCATGTTTATGTCTATTAAGGCTAAGATGGAACGGCACTGAAAGCAGCCCTTTAAACCATTCAGACTACGAACACAACAACAGAGACACAATCAGATGACTTATTACCCCGCGATAATAACTCTATTGAAAAACCTTATAAGCTTGTATTAAAGCAGAAAGTACGGCGGCCACCGTAAAAAAGGCTTACAGTATCAATTATGCCGCATGAACTGATCAGTAGATTATTGCGAGGGAACGCAAAAGTTTTGCGAGGGAACGCAAAAGAAAAAAAATTCCCCATGTCCCCTGGAGGGCTCCGTACGATATAGCCAAACTCCGTCAAGTATGGCATTGTTTTTATGCCATATTAGATTTGTCGTGTTGATACATCTTGACCTGCTTCAATTTTCCGCCGCAACACGCAAACTTCCCCATTCACTCAGTGCGTTATACTTCCACACGACATCGCTTAGGATAGCGGTTCTCAACATGGGCGGTACCGTTCTGTGATCATTTCAAAGCAGCAACTTATATTAAAAAGTGTTTTATTTCCGTTTAAAAGCTGCACGCTACCATGGAAGGACAACAGAAAATCGCTCTTAAACATATAATTACTAAAATCACGATACCCTCACTTTGTAT